CCGGATTTTCTCCTTCTCAGACGCAGCCTGAGCTTGTGTCTCCTGGCTGCTGAGGCGCCTGTCCTCTGCTTCCAGCCAGCAAGCCCACCCAGGGCCGCCTTGCTCCTGGCCTCTCAGAGTTTCCAGTGTGGCTCTGGGTTCCTGAAACACGCAGAGGAGGCATGTCCTGCCTGTTCCCACAGTGGGCGTGCAGCTGAGGTTTCCCCACAGGAATAAACATCCCTGCTTTTTTCTTCAGAAAATGCCTTAGGGACCTGCGCATCTGGAGGTCCTATGGGGACACCCTTGGCCCTCATATGGGGTTGCTGCGTTCCTATGTTTGACTGAGTATCTCCATGGTGCTGGGACATTGAAGAAATGAATGCTCCTTGACCCCCAGAAGCTTCATCAGCAAAGGGGAGCAAAGACTGAGGGAACAAGTAAATGCAAATGCACACAGTTCAGTCATTGTCATCTTATTCTAGCGCTTTGAGCACATTTTAAATAAAAGCTATATCGCCTTTGTCCTATGCCTACACCCATTGCTTCTCCAGAGGGGAAAGAAATGGAGTTTTATGAGCACCTACTGTGTGCCAGGTGCTTCGTGAATAAGGGCACCACCTCTTGGCACAGCCCATGAGGCTGACATTGTTGCTCTGTTCACAGAGGGAAAACGGGGCCCAGCCAGGGGAGTGGCTTATCTCTGCCCAGGGCTGCAGGGAGAGGCGGGCAGCCGGGCCCCCTGCTCTTCCGCCTGCCCCGCCCTGCCTTCCCGGCCATAGAGCATTGGTCCCTCACAAACAGGCGCTCATCCTGCCCAGCTGCCTCAGAGGCTTCTTCTCTGAGGATCACAGGGTCAGAAATGTATCCCCTCACCGCTCTGGAGGCCAGGAGCCTGACGTCTTGGTCCCAGCAGGCCTGCTCTCCCTCTGAGGTCTCCAGGGCTGGATGCTCCCCTTCCGTGCTGGGCGCTGCGCACTCCCGCCTCGGCCTCCCCTTCGCACGGCAGACTTCTTCTCCCTGTACAGCTCTCCGAAGGACATTTGTCATTGGATATGGGGCCCACCAGATAAGCCAGGGTGATCCCTCTTGAGATCTCTAATTACATCTGCAAAGCCCCTTTTTCCAAATAAGGTCACATTCGCTGTTTCCACGGGTTAAGACGTGGGCATAGCTATTGGGGGGCCGCTGCTCCACCCACTTCGGCTTTTGGAACAATGCCCAACACAGAGCCACTTAGGATGGGGCAATGATTGATTTCTTTTAAAAAATTAACAATAATACATTTTTTAAAAAGATTTTATTTGTTTATTTTTGGAGAGCAGGGAAGGGAGGGAGACATCGATGTGTGAGAGAAACATCCATCAGTTGCCTCTGGCACGCACCCAGTGGGGGACCTGGCCCACAACCCAGGCGTGTGCCCTGACGAGGAATCGAACTGGCGACCTTGAGGTTTGCAGGCTGGCACTCAATCCACTGAGCCACACCAGCCAGGGCAAATAAACTTGTTTTAAAAAGCAGTTGATCATTGTCATGTTCTAATGATTACAACATAGGCTGTTCTCAGCGCTTTATGTGGCTTATTTTATTTCGTCCTCACACGACCCTAAGAGTTAGGTATGGTTATTAGCCCCATTACACAGGTGAGGAAATTGAGTCACCAACTAGGTAAGTGATTTTTCCAAGGTCTCTAGTGGGTGAGTGGAGGAGCTGGGGTCATTCCCAGGCTGACAAGCCATGAGTCTTTGGACAAATGTGGAACCATAACCAGAGGGGCTCAGGATGCCCCCTCTCCAGGAGGGTTTGGCACAACTTTTCTCCAAGATTCTTCTGCCCTTGGCCATGAAAAAGCCCCCTTGCTCTTTCTTTGCCTTTCCAAGGACCTTGGGAGACACACTGTCCTCATGGGGAAGGTTTACGATCAGTTCAGGAGCACCTTTCTGTGTATTATCCAATTCCATCCCCTCCAGGATTGTTCTCATCCCTGTTTTATAGATGAGGGAAGGTCCCCTCACTCCTGAGCAGTAAACGCAGAGGGGAATCCCAGGTCTCTCAACTCCTCTGGCTACTGCTCTCCCTGCCACCTAAAGCCTCCCCCTACACTGCCACCACGCCCCGGGGGAAGCTCTGGGTTAGAAGAGAAAGCACATACATAGAGAAGGAGCGATAGAGCTGCTGAGGAGCAGATTGTTCATTACATAGCCTCAAAGGATCTCCCCATCAGATGCTTGCTGTTTACAAAGAGAAACACAGAACCTTCACAATGGAAAAACCTGGCAGACCCTGTCCTGCCCAAGTGATCAAACTTACATCCGCAGTAACAGCACAAACCCTGTGCAGAGCCTACCGGCAGAACGCACGGGGCAGAACACAACTTCTTGCGGAGTTCCCACCGTTAAGGACTGACCCGTGCCGCGCCCCGCCCCGCCCCTTTATTCATCTGTTGAAGCCCTAACCTTAGGACTTCAGCATATGACTCTGTTTGGAGATGGGACATTTAGGAGGTGATTAAGTTTGATTAATGAATGGGGGCCCTGAGGGTGGGCCCCAATTCAATCTGGCAGGTGTCCTTATAAGAAGAGGAAATTTGGAGACACAAAGAGGCCTAGACTTCTAACTTCCAGAACTATGAGAAAATAAATATCTGTTTAAGCCACCCAGTCTCTGGGAATTTGTTATGGCAGCCCAGGCAAACTAATAAAACTGCCCAAAATGCCCAATCTGAATCTAAGCAGGAGGAAACAACAGATAAACCCAAATGAGGGCTGTTCTCTAAAACAACTGGTCTGTGTGCCTCAAAAATGTCAAGGGTACAAAGAACAAAGAATGAAGCAGGGGCTGCCCCCACACTGGAGGAGGCTAAAGAAACACAATCCTGGCCTTGGTCTGGGTCCTGGTCAAGAAACAGAACACTTTCTCTCCGGTTATACAAGTCATCATTACAATAATTGATGAGTAAGGTTTGTAGATGCAATTGTGATATAACAATGCTGATTTCCTGATTTTGATCTTTTTACTGTGGTTACCTGTTTTGAAGAAATAGACACTACAGGCCTTACAGGCTGAAGGAGGAATTAGCTATGTCTGCAGCCAGCCCCCTGGTGGTACGGAAGAGCCTCTGTGTGTGTGTCTGTGCGCATGTGGACAGAGAGACGGAGAAAGCCAAAACAAATATAGAAAGAAGTTACCAGTGTTTGAGGAATCTGGACAAAGGGTCTATGGAAATTCTTTGCAGTAAGTCTGAAATTATTTTAAAAGGAAAACGTGTAGACCTCCGTCGTCCCTCAGGAGGAACTCACCTCAGCGGCCCCTTTCCCCCTCCAGCCACATCCCTGACCCGGCCTAGCTCCTCCCTCTCCCAGGACTTCCTGCTGGAAGCCCGCTGTTCCCAGCCCACCCTCTGTCCTCCTCGCCCCACATTCCCAGGGGTGCCTCAACACAGTGCCCCCGACCCCGTGCCCCATGCCCACAGGCTCCTCCCACTGCCACTCAGCAGCCTGCTGTGCAGAAACTCCTCTGCCCCCACCTGCCCTGCGGCCTGGCCTGTTGGTGCCTCAGCTGGCTCTGCTCCCACAGTCAACCCCCCACTAAGCTTCCCCATCTCAGTGGTAAATCATTACCACGGCGATTTTCAGCCTGTGGCCAAAGAGGCTCACGGGTGCGCGGCAGGAACCTTTAAAACACTCGATGCTTGACTATTTAGTTAGTGGGGCACTGACCTCTTTTCCCTTAGATTGTCCAACTAAAAAAATGAGAACAGCCAAGACAACAAGAGCTAGTCTGGTGTGAATGAATCAAAACTACACCTATTTTTTGTCAAACTGGCAAAAACTATATTTTTCAGTGCACCGTGGAACTTTAGTAATTAGTTTACGTGTGCCATCAGAGGAGAAAGGTGGAAAATCGCTGCATTACCACGTAATGATGCAAGGTAAACATTCTCAGCCTCAGTTTGCACACAGGGACCCCAAAGCTCAGGGAAGTGATGTGTCTCCCCGCCAGCTTGAAAGTGGTTGGGCCTGGATGGGGACCAGACCCCTCCCTCCAAGCCCCGCACGCTCCTGCCGCTTCAGAGTCTACTAACCGGCCATGTGTGCCAGCACTTGCTGAGCGCTGAGGAAATGAGGGGGTGATGCCCTTTGAGGATGACCCGTAATAACACTAGCAAGCTCCGTGCCTGTGCCAGGCGTGCGGTCTTCTTGTTGTTCTCAATAGACTTTATTTCTCAGAACTGTTCTAGATTGACAGAAAACCTGAGGGGACAGCGCAGAGAGCCCCCACACAGCCTGCCGCCCGTCTCCCCCATGATTAATGCCTTACATTACAGTGGCCCATGTATCGCACAGTGAATGAGCTGAGGTTGACACCTCAGGGTTAGCTGAAGTCCATTTCCTTAGCTTTCAGCTAATGTCCCTTTTCTGCCCCAGGAGCCCATCTAGGAGGCCAGGTTACATCTAGCTGTCCATTCCCGTTAGTTTTTATTAGTAATGACCATGGTCACATGAGCTGCCTTAACTCTCAGGAGCGCTCTGTGAGGTGGTACTTACTCCCCTGTCACACACTGCCCGCCCCCCGTGCCCCCCACCCCGGCCCACTGCATCCCCTGCAAGCTTTCCGGCAGGGGGACCCTGTCTCGGGGGGCCTGTTCTGCTGGCTTTGAGGAACCGGGTGTAAACTAACCTGGCCCGCTGCCCACCTCCGCTGCCTGCTGCCTGGGAGAGGGGGCAGTGGGTCTGGGGCCCACAGCACCGCGGCCCACTCAGCTGAGCCAGCATCAGCCCCAGCTGCGAGGCAGAAAACCAGGGTGAGGGGCAGCTTTCAGAGCAGCCCTTCAGGGCCCTGAGATGGGAGGGCACCTTCCCCTCCCTTCAGGGCAGGAGTTTCACCAGAGCCCCTCGTGGCCAGGTAAGCGCCCCTCCAGGTGGGCCCCCTTTGCCCTTAGAAGTTCCCACCTGCAACCTTCCCTATATAAGTCCCGGGCCTTCCACCGGTCATGGCTGGGAGGGGCTATCCTGGGGTCCATGGCGTTTCTGATGGCAGGAGCTACGGCCACAGCCACAGCCACAGCCACGGCCGGGGGTCACTGCGTGGCCCTGCTGCTGCTGGCCACTCTGGGCCTGGGCCAGCCGCCACACCCCGAGCCGGGCGTCCCAGGCCTGCGGCACAGCTATGACTGTGGAGTCAAGGGCATGCAGCTGCTGGTGTTCCCGTCCGAAGGCCGGACCATTCGCTTCAAGGTGGTGGGTGAGTGCCAGCTGAGTCCCGGACCCCACCAACCTGGGCTGCAGTGGGGAGCCAGGGTCTTTTCCCTGTGGCAGGAATAGGAAGATTAGGGGCCTCCCCGCAGCCCGAGGGTGGCAGCCCCCACCCCCCACCACATGGTGCCCAGGGAATCACCTGGCTGCTGTGCTGAGCTGTAGGACCCAGGTTCGGCACTTGTAACCACAGCCAGCTGAAGCCCAGGCTGCTGGTCCACAAACCACTCTGAGTGGCAGGGTGTGGCCTGGTATGGAGAAAACGGGGGTTTCAAACCAGGATGTGCATCTGCAGCTTCAAAGCTGTGTGACTTAGAACAACACTTCTGACCTTTCTGAGCCCCCCGTTCCCCATCTGTAAGAGGGGGAAGATGACCCCAACCTTGCCATGTGGTCTGAACAGGAGTACAGGGCGCATGACTACCCAGAGAGCGCCCTGGCGGTCCTGGGCTGACCAGGTGGGTGAACACCTATCAGGTACCTCCAAGTGAAGTGACTGCAACAGCCAGTTCACCTGACAAACAGACTCAGCTCTTTCTGTGAAATCTCAGGTTCGAATCCCCATTTTGCCTCTCACTGCGTGTGCCTGGGAAAGCTCACTCGCTCTGTGCTCAGCAGCCTCATCCCCAGGATGCGATGACTAAGTTTGAAAGAACTGTTATAAAATACTCAGCCCAGGGCCTAAGACCTACCCATTACTCCATCTTATTTTCGTTCCTGCCCGCTGCTGAGTGCCGTCAACAGGAAAGCAGAGCTAGAAAGCTCCTGAGCCCAGCTGGAGCCACCCGTTCCCTCCCAGGTGCAGAAACCAAGACCAGAGAGGGGAAGGGGCTTGCCCAAGACCACACAGCAAGCTAATAGCAAACCGAAGGCTAGAACCCGGGTCTCCAGCTCCTGAGTGGGAAGTCTTCTCAGCAGACCCCAACAGCCTCTGGCTTCACCCGCCAGCCTCCCTGATCCCTCCCCTCCAACCCTCTCTTCCCTCCTCCACCCCAGATGAATTCGAGAACCAGTTTGAGGTGAACAACTGCTCCATCTGCTACCACTGGGTTACAGCCAAGCCCCAGGGGCCTACAGTCTTCTCTGCTGATTACAAAGGCTGCCACGTGCTGGAGAAGGTAGGGGCCACTCCCTGCTCTGGAGGAGAGGCCTGCCGCCGGGAGCCAGCGTGGCCCAACACAGGGTCAGGCTAGGGGCAGCCCTCGCACTCCAGGGGTGCATCGGCACCCAAGGTCACTCAGTGAGCTGGTGGATGAAGGGCACTGAGTCCTGGGTACCAGCCCTCACATCCAGCCCCCTGCCTAACAGCTGGGCTCTGCATGGCCCAGATGCTGAGTGGCCTCACCTCGCTGCTCTCCTATTTGCCTTCTCACCTGCAGGATGGGCACTCCCACCTGAAAGTGCTCATAGAAGCCGTGCTGCCCGATGGTCGTGTTGGCATAGCACGAAATGTCACTCTGGTCTGTCCCAAACCTGAACACACCTGGATGACTCTGGATGGCCAACTGGTGCCACCCAGCACATTCTCACTTTCTACCCCACATGCCGGTTCCCTCCGCCCCACCGCAGAGCACAGCTTTGCGCTTCCATCCTCTGCCTCGCCATCCCTTGGATCTGGGCCCACACACTCCACCTGGGCTCGTCTGCATGGAGGCACCTTGGAGCAATGGGAGGTGGACAAGCCAGATTACATAGGTACGTAGGGCTCCTCTGTGTACATACACCCTGTGTCCCGGACCTCCAGGAGTATGAGGTGGCCTGATAGTCCTTCACTGGGCTCAAGATGCCGCCTCCCTCCATTCCCCCTGGAAGTGTGCTGCCCACTCAACTGCCTGTCATGTCCTCACCACTCTGTCACCGACCCTAGGTACTAATCTGACCCCAGAGCGGTGTCAGGGGGACTCTGGGCACATCCCCTGCGTAGTGAAAAGAAGTTCAAAGGAAGCCTGTCAGCAGGCTGGCTGCTGCTACGATGACACCAGAGACGTTCCCTGTTACTATGGCAACACAGGTACAACTTTCCCTGCCAAGCAGGGTCCCAGCCTTTGTATCCTGATGCGCTAGGAGGGCTTCCTCCTCTCCCCTCTTCCCAGAAGAGCCTGGCCCCAGAACAGACTGCAGAACAGCTGTGCATGGGAGCCCCCGTGCCCCAGCGTGCCTGACGAGAGGTGTCCCAGGGGGTTATTACTAGAGCTACCTTCACATGGTCCCCTGCCTTAGAGCTAGGGCATCCCAGCTGGCATGATAAATGTGGTAGTGATCTTAAATTTAGACGATAGTTCAACTGTTTGCTCCATGAACGAGAAAATCTGGGTCTGCAAAGGGCTTGCTTAAGCTGACGCAGCCCCAGTGGAGAGTACGAGAATCCAGGGGTGTTGACCCCTAGGCCCACACCCCACTGCTGACTGTCTCCAGCCCCTCGCCCATGTCTGCTGGAAGGACACTAAACACCAAGGCTCCGATCAGTCTCCTTGTCTGCTTTGTCCCAGCAACTGTCCAGTGCTTCAGAAATGGCCACTTCGTCCTGGTGGTATCCCAAGAAACAGCCTTGGCACACAGGATCACACTGGCCAACGTCCACCTGGCCTACGCCTCCGCCAGCTGCTCCCCAACCCAGCGCACGGGGTCCTTTGTGGTCTTCCACTTCCCTCTCACCCGCTGTGGCACCACAGTCCAGGTATGTGCAGGGGCCATGGGCCGGCGCCCCGTCCTGCCCCCCTGGGAGGGCCTCACCCAGCTGCCTCCTCCCACAGGTGGTTGGCAATCAGCTCATCTATGAGAACCAGCTGGCTTCGGCCATCGACGTCCAAAGGGGACCACAGGGTTCCATCACACGGGACGGCACCTTCCGGTGAGGGGAGCCTTCCTGGGGAAGTCCGGGCTGTGGGCTTGGGCGGGAAGGGAGACGGGCGAGGTTAGGACAGGCTTTGGAGCTATCTGGGTTCGTGCTGAAAGTCTTTAGCCAGCCGTGGGACCTCGTCCCAGCCTCAGCTGAACATAACACGGGGCCTGCCCACACCCGACAGGTAGAAGCCACGGCAGTGCCTGAAAGGGCCAGAGTCCTCAAAAGCTCTTACCGTTGCCCCTCTAAGAACTAAGCTCAGAAACTAAGCAACCACAAGTGAAGCTGCAAGGGTCCCCCCGCCAGGCCCCAGGAAGAGGGTGAGGCTGTGGCGGCAGCTGCGGCTGCCTCCTAATTTCAGAAGTTAAAGCCACAGATGAGGCAGAAGACAGCTGGGGCTGGGGCTCCCTGAGGGTGAGAGAGGAGCAGAGGGAGAACCCCCTCACTGACAGGGCCACCAGGACCTGCTGACAGGTGGCATCGCCACGCAGGTCCCAGGATGCCCGTGGGGGTGGGTCTGAGGGGATCGCCTGGCTAAGTGCCCGAGGGGCTGGGCACCATCGCCCTGCCCACCCCGCCAAGAGCTCACTCATTAACCATGGGTCGCAGGCATTCCATACCTGGCACCAAGCAGATGCCACCCTACCTGCTACGGGGGCTGGGGTGAGGTGCTGGCATCAGGGGCCAAGGGCCTTTGCTTTAAAAAGTACCTGAGGGAGAAGGGGGGAGTGACAGAATGAAGCTGCCTTGCGTTAAGGCCCTTGGATTTAAGAGCAACGGGAGCTAGCCAGCATTCAACGCCGAGGCCAGGGATTCTAGGGGGGCAGCCGGAAGGGGGGCAGCTGCGGCCCAGCAGGGGCACACGGGAGGCACCAGGAGGAGGGGCCGCCAGGTCAGGGCAGCAACCCTGGATGCCTGCCTGTAAGCAGCTACCTAGCGCCCGTCCCCGTCCCCGTCCCCGTCCCCGTCCCCGTCCCCGTCCCCGTCCCCGTCCCCGTCCCCGTGCACAGGATGTCTCTTTCCTCCAGGAGCCCCAGCCCAGGCTCAAACCCAGGGCTCAAACCCAGGGCTCAAACCCAGGGCTCAAACCCAGGGCTCAAACCCAGGGCTCAAACCCAGGGCTCAAACCCAGGGCTCTGGCTCACGTAGCGGTAAAGGTAGAGCACTCAGGAGCTGGGGATGAGGTGGATGGGGTTGGCTACTGTTGCAGACACCTCAGGGTGTCTGTGCCAAGACTGTGCAAGGGCACTTTGGGATGGCAAGGGACACCAGATGCAGCGACAGACCAGCTACAACTACAGGGACAATGACGACACTGGGGTGCAATCTTGTGACCCTACTGATCCTATCGCAGCCCTCCGAGGGAGAGAGGGTGATTGCCATTTTGCAAATGAGGACACTGAGGCTTGGGTTAAAGCATTTTCTTGTGCTCCCGTGGCCAGTAAATACTAAGAAGATTCAAATGCAACTCTGCCTGCTAGGCTTGACTGGCAGGTTCCAAGGGAGCCTCAAATGTCAGAACAGGGTGAGTGTCTGTCGGCGCCGTGCCCCATGCCCCCTGCCTCTGCTCTGCTGTGCCCTGCCCCTGAAGAGGGCCTGACATGGCCGGCTTTGGCTGTGCCAGGAAGATGAGGGGGCAGAGGAGGTGGACAGGCGTGCACATCACCCTAGCGATTGCTCGGCTGGAATCCATCAGCCCTGCTGGACTGGGCCCTGTTTGTTGCATCCACATCGGGTGTGCCTGGTCTATCACGCAAGCAGGAGGCGCTGATTCTGTCATCTCCCCCCATTCTCTCCCACTTGAACTTCAGGCTTCATGTTCGCTGTATCTTCAATGCTAGTGACTTCCTGCCCCTCCAGGCATCTGTCTTCCCGTCCTCTTCACCAGCCTCTGTGACTGAGCCAGGTCCCCTGCGGCTCCAGCTTCGGATCGCCAAGGGTACCGTGTCCCCGCACGCCTCCTCCCCCTGCCCCCACATATCAGGCATACAGCCCCCCAGAGGCTCACCGCCCCCTCTCCCTGCAGACGAGACTTTCCGCTCCTTCTACAAGGACAGGGACTACCCCATCGTGAGGCTGCTCCTGGAGCCTGTCCCCGTGGAGGTCCGGCTCCTGCAGAGGACAGACCCCAGTCTGGTCCTGGTGCTGCACCGGTGCTGGGCCACCCCCAGCGCCAACCCCTTCCAGCAGCCCCAGTGGCCCATCCTGTCAGATGGGTGAGTGGTGGCAGGTGCTCGAGCTGCCCCAGGGGCCCCCCCGCTTGCCTCCCCTCCCTCGCTGGGGGGCTTCCTCGACTTCTCTCCTTCCCAGGTGTCCCTTCGAGGGTGACAACTACAGGACCCAGATGGTCGCCTTGGACAGCGCTGGGCTGCCTTTCCCGGGACACTACCAGCGCTTCACCGTGGCCACCTTCGCGTTCCTGGATTCTGGCTCCCAGAGAGCCCTCAGAGGACCGGTAGGAAGCGCTGTGTTCTGTTCCGTGTCCTCGTGCCTGCTGTCGCCAGGTCCCCCCAGCAGCATGCAAGCTGAAGCTGACCAAGGTTCTCCGGTTGTACCACGCGCCACAGAGGGCAGCAAGAGCAGGTCTTCGCCTCAGGGAAGCCCTGGGGTGACCAGTGAACAACTCAAGTGTGAGGCTGGAAAATGCCATGGGCCCTAAACCTGAGCACTGGTCACAGCGGGGAGGGTGGCCTCGCTCTGACTGCAGAAACAATGTGTTCAACATAATTCTGCTTTGACTTTTTTATAACCTAACTTCTCCAGAAGGTAACATGGATAACGGGGTATGCTTAGGTTTTCTACCTACGTACAACTAGTGTGACTTTTATTCTACTGAGCAGTATGTATCTTTCACGTTACTTTATACAGATCTCTACATTTTAAACAGCTGCATATTTATCACATCAGATGTAGACAGACTTCACGGGTTGACACCTGAGGGGGGCTTAATCCTCACCTCAGCGGTGAGCCTCTTCCTGAGCTGACACCCTGAGCTGCTGGGTGAAGGAGCACCACTGGTTGGGCCTCTTGCGAACTGGTTCTGGTCGACTCCTCCTGCTTCTCCGTCTTTGGGGAGCTGCACTTGGCCTTGTGTTTCTGGAAGGAGGGCCAACCCGTCCACCCCTCCGCCCTCTGTGAGGAGTCCCTGGGGACTGGGCCTGGTCAAGCCCCACCTTCCTGAAACTCCCTCTTGTCAGCCACTAGCACAGGGAGCAAGACAGACCTCCCCAGGGCTCTACTGTTGGGGGGAGGGGGGCAGTGTTGGTAGAGACTAGCGAGGGCGGGGACTCAGCCAAGGACCCAGGCCTGGGGTGGGGGGGGGGGGGGAGGAGAAACGTGTGGATTCCAAACTGGGGCGCAGCACCTGTGGCTCGGTAGCTCCCCAGCAGGGGCTGCCGTCTCAGTCCTAGTCAACATGCCCAGAGGTTCCCCGCCAGCCCGCCTGCCTGGGTCCTGATCCTCTGTCCCTGCCCCAGTGTTTCCTCCCTGGGCACCACGCCAGCCCTATGTCCCGACCTTCCTCTTCCCACCAGGTCTACTTCTTCTGCAGCGCCTCGGCCTGCACCCCCACAGGGCAGGAGACCTGCTCCTCTACCTGCGGCTCTAGAGCCACGAGTGAGTCTGGGGTGCGGGGGGAGGAGGTGCTCTGCATTCTTGCAGACACACGGTCCTGGCTTCCGGGCCACCAGGGGCTTGGACACCATCCCAAGTTGCAGCTCCCCCCCCTCCGGGCAGGACAGCGGCGATCCTCGAGCCCCCGCAGGGACATGGCTGAGCCGCAGCACATCGTGAGCTCTCCAGGGCCAGTGGGCTTTGTGGATTCTTACAGGAAGGAGGCTACGCTGGGGCCCTCAGGTACCAGGGCCTGTGGGCGGGCCCCTCCGGCCTTGGCCACTGGGGTGTGTTGACAAAACAGAAGGTCCAGCCATTGTAAGGGCGGAGACGGTGTAGCTTCCTTCAACTGGACGATGAAGTCCGAGGCGGGCCAGCAGCTTCAGCCCTGCCCTGGGTTTACACAGGTCTGGCGTGGAGCGGACCCGCCCAGCCCAGCCCAGCCCAGCCCTGACATCCTTCAAATCCTTCTCTCGGCAGGCTCGACCAGGAACTCCAGTCCGAGGCTTCTCCTCTGGGTGGTCCTTTTGCTGGCAGCGGCTGCCCTGGTCCTAGGGATCAGTGTCTTTGTGGGTCTGCATCAGACCCAGGCCCAGGGGCTCCAGGAAACAGAGGGTGAACGGGCTCAATAAAGCATCCTTTCAGGCCTAGTGCAACCGGGTGTGCAAAGCTCTTTGTAAAGACTAGAACAGAATTCTTTCTTGTCGTAGAAACTTGTTCCTTGGGGTCAGCTCTGTCCTGCCACAGTTACCTTTATCACAAATACTGGGGAGAGCCCATTGTCTCCCAGGCCTGAATCTGGAGGACGTTGCCTGTCCGTGAGGAAAGGTGGTGCTCCAGGCAGGCAGCGCGGGACAGGTCACGGTGGAGGAAGGTAAAACCGTGGCCGCGTCATGAGCCACGGGAGCTGGGAATTGGGGACCCGACAGGACTCATGGCCTGGGAGGGCCTGTCACCTCCCACAGACACAGGAGTTCTGACTGGGTGCCCTCACAGCACACTGCTTGGCTGTCACTGTGAATAAGGGGAACCCAGAGTTCCCTGGGCCAAAAGAACGAAACCCAACTTGAAGGAACCGCTCCCAGTCCTGCTCAGAAACCGCCAGCCTCCCACTAAAGGGTGTGGGGCTACTTGTCTGACCACCAGCCTCCGTCCCCCTCCGTCGGTGCCCCCCAGAACTAGCCACACAGGAATGGCAGGCACAGCGTGAATAGCACGACCCCCAGACAGCTCAGTGCTGGCACTGGCTGGGCTACTGACCTTTGTTTGCCCGTGTGTGGCATGGCTTTCATCTCTGACTTGGTAGCAAAGACCTTTCCAGACGGACGTGTAGACCAAGGCTGGGGATGCGGGTGGGGAGGGTAAAGGTCAGCCTCCGGCGGGCAGAGAACAACCTGGTGGGGAAGTCAGGGCTTGGGTTCAGACACCTTGCTGGGACTTTGGTAGGGCATGAGCTAGGAGAGCCCACACAAAGGACTCTGTAGAGCTCAAGCCAGGCCAGTGGCCTTGACACAGTGCAGGGCTCCCCTGCTCTGGCTTCTGCCCTCTCTTCCATCTTCAGGATACTCATCAAATACAGGGACTCCTGAGCCAGATTGCTTCAGGTACAGCCCTGGCTCTGTCCCTTATCAGCTGTGTGATACTGACTTACTGAAACTTCCTGGGCCCCAGTCTCCTCATCTGCAAAATACCTATCCCCAGAAGGGTGTTAGAGAAAATGAGCTAATAGGTAAGGGTCCCTAGGCTACTACAGAACCGTTAGCCAACATTTACTGAATGCTGTTAACTGCTAGAAGTTCCTCTTCTTCCTACCCCAAATTTAATGCTTCCCTCCTTTCTTTTTCCTCTTCTTTCTCACTCTTCCTCCTTCCTTCCTTCCTTCCTTCCTTTGTCCTTTCTTGACAAGGTTACAGCATGAGATGAGGCAGGGCTACAGGAGACTGCTGCCTTCAGGCTTTTCTAGCTGGAGGCAGCAGGAGAGGGCGCATGGGAAGGAAGATCTGGCCCCTAGCTATGGAAGCCAGTTAAGTAACATCTTTATCTGGAACCGTCTTCCCATCTGTGGCCAGGGATGACAGCTTTGTCCAACTCGCTGGGCTGTGCAGGGACCATAGGATATACCCTCCAGGGTTAGTGTGAAGTCAGTGAGTGATAGTTCTTGGCCTGATTGTTGGTTGGAGGAGCCAGGCTGGCTCGCTCTTAGATGTCAGGGTCTGGTTCCACCAGCATCATCGCTTCCTTACCACTCCTTTCGTTGTACAACAGGAAAGGTGCTTCTATAAATGGTATCCATGCTGTGTTTACACAAAGCACGATTCTATAAATACCCATTAGAATCACGTAACTGACTTCTCTGTTTTTTAAACACAGATCTTGTCATGTTTTTTCCTTTTTAAAATATATTTTACTGATTATGCTATTATAGTTGTCCCATTTTTCACCCTTTGCCCCCCTCCATCTGGTATCCCCTTCCCTCCAGCAATCCCCCTCTTAGTTCATGTCCAGGGGTTGTGTATATAAGCTCTTAGACTACTCCTTTTCCTATACTGTTCTTGACATCCCCCTGTCTATTCTGTACCTATCAATTTGTACTTCTTAATCCCTGTACCTTTTCCCCCATTCTCCCCCTTCCCCCTCCCAGCTGATAACCCTGGAAATGATCTCCGTATCTATGGTTCTATTCCTGTCCTGGTTGTTTGCTTATTTTGTTTTCTTTTTAAAGATTCAGTTGATAGTGGTGAATTTGTTGCCCTTTTAATGTTCATAGTTTTGATGTTCTTTTTCTTAAACAAGTCCCTTTAACATTTCAGGTAATAACAGCTTAGTGCTGCTGAACTCCTTTTGCTTTACCTTGTCTTGGAAGCGCTTTACCTGTTCTTCCATTGTAAATGATAGCCTTACTAGATAGAGTAATCTAGGTTGTAGGTCCTTGCTTTTCATTACTTTGAATATTTTTTGCCAGTCCCTTCTAGCCTGCAAAGTTTCTTTTGAGGAATCAGCTGACAGTCTTATGGGAACTCCTGTGTAGGTAACTATCTGCTTTTCTCTTGCTGCTTTTAAGATTTTCTCTTTATCTTTAATCATTGGCATTTTGATTATGATATGTCTTGGTGTGGTCCTCCTTGGGTCCAACTTTTTTGGGATTCTCTGAGCTTCCTGGACGTGTATGTCTATTTCCTTTACCAAATCGAGGAAGTGTTCTCTATTTTTTTCAAAGAAGTTTTCAATTTCTTGCTCTTCCTCTTCTCCTTCTGTCACCCCTATGATTCAAATGCTGGTGTGTTTAAAGTTGTCTCAGAGGTTCCTACGCCTATCCTTGTTCTTGTTTTTTAATTCTTTTGTCTTCATACTGTTCTGATTGAGTGCTTTTTCCTTCCTTGTGTTCCAAATCATTGATTTGATTCTCAGCTTCATCCTCTCCACTGTGGGTTCCCTGTAGATTTCTCTTTATTTCACTTAGTGTAGCCTTAAGTTCTTCCCTTATGTTTTTGCTGTACTCAGTGGGTTATTTGAGCACCCTGATCACCAGTGTTTTGAACGCTGCATCTGATAGGTCAATTATCTCCATTTCATTTAGTTCTTTTTCTGGAGTTTTGTTCTGTTCTCTCATTTGGGCACTATTTCTTTGTCTCCTCAATTCAGCACCTCCCTCTGTTTTTTTCTATATATGAGGTAGAGCTGCTTTGACTCCCTGTCTTAGAAAAGGCACCTGTAAGTTGTGTGGGGCAGAGCATTAGGTAATCACCAAGGTTGGGCAACCTGCTTCACTGCTTTGTGGTTCTATGTAGGGGGAGGGCTTGGAGAGGAGACAGTGCCACTGCCTGGCGTCTGGAGGTTTGCCTGGCACGGGCCCTGTTTCCAGTCACTTCACCTACTTTCTGTTTTGATTCCCACTGGTTTGGTTCCCAGTCAAGGTACATGGCTGGGCTGTCAGTTCAGTCCCCGGTTGGGGTGCACATGGGAGGCAATAGATGGATGTTTCTCTCCCTCTTTCCACCTTCCTTCCCCTCTTTCTAAAAATAAACTCTAAAATAGACCTCTTTGATTAGAAGCCAAGCATCTTTATAGCCACTTGCATCTTCTACGTTGCCTCTGTGTGTCTTTCCTTATCTACAAAGATCTTTCCCAAGTGAAGGGGTCAACATCCCCTCACACACTTCCCATTGAGTTGGCCATTGGGTTTCCTGTGTGGGGTCCTCCCATTTTGCTGCTTAAGAGATTTGTGGAACAATGAATATTTATTGCTCCCTCATATTTTTATCTTTGAATATGGCAAAGATCTTCCCCTACGCTACGTAATCTTGAAGTATCCATTCACTTCTTTTCATGATACTCCTGGGACAGTTCCACGTGTTTCCCTCCTGTCAAGTGCACACAGGTACACGGTTTCTGAAAGGTAACTCTGGTCACTGACAAATGGCATGTAGCTTTTTCTCACATCTTCTCTGACAGAGAGGTCTGTTTGCAAACTGCGTGCACAGTGAGGGCCCCTGCAGCCCCGGCTTCCCCACAGTTTCCTTCCAGGGAAGCAGTATAAGCTCTAACTTTCCTGAATATCAAAACCTAGCCCAAATTTTGTCCACTTTACAACCTCCCCCTTGCCCTAAAACCACCTCCTGACACTAGCAGGCACCTGAGTGAGCCCTGAGAACATGTGAGTCAGACCTGATAGGGGCGATAACAAACCACATTTGCTGACCTGTGGCAGGAAGCAGAGCTGCTCAGGGGCCTGCCAGGTCCTCTCTCTTCCTGCCTTGTCAGGAGGGGGGCAGGCGCTGCTGCCACAGCTGGGTAAGACCCACGGGACTCCCCACCTCTCCATCAACACTCCCCCCAGTCTCCTTCCTATTTACACTGTGAGATCGAATTGATGCCATGGCGCTTCGTCTTAAATAAATGGGGAGACTACTTCAGCTTCAGTAAAATCAAACTCCTTAAACTGTGGCTCACCACCCAGATGTTTCTGTAAGTGTATTTCCCATAAAGGCACCACCTCTGTCCCAGCAGTAGGAAGACGAGAGACCCGGATTGACCTTCTGTTGTGAATCCACTGACAGGTTATCTAGATACATTTTTAAAACATGTTGAAATCTTCACTGAGCTAACATGGAAGAGAAAAAGGAAAACAAGACATACACCTAGGACAAAAATAAAGCAAGCACCAAAACTCTGGGGAGTAAAACCAGCTTCTATTCTGGGTCTTCCACAGAACCCTGGAGACCTTGCTTGACGTTCTGCTTCGATGAGTCCAGGAGCTGCAGGTCAAGTGCGGAGAAGCAGGGTTGCTCTCCCAGCGGGGACTCCGGGGGTCTTGGTGCTCAGCACAGCAGCGAAGGGAACGTGCATCCACTGCACAGACATGGTGGCAAGGGAGTTTGTCTCTCTTCATCTGGGTGCAGGATGGATTAAAAAAAGTCTTTCCCGAGAATTAAAGTATGAGTCCCACTTCTCTGGTAAACGCAGTCCCAATTCTTAGAATAGGACTGGGAGGGGGCGACTCTCAAAGGTTCAATTCGGGAAAAACCTCAAGGGCTGAGTTTAATTTAAAGTGATCTCAGGGTGATAATGAACTTAAAGCGATCCCTTGGCTTCAGGCAGAAGCAACGGCAAATTCTGTCCGAAAAGATGTGAT